AAAGAAAAAGAGAAACCACATCACACAGGGCCAAAACACATCCAACAGACCGCTCGCCTCGGAGTCCGCGAAACGCTCAAAGAGGAGGCTCGCCGACTGCCTCTGTGATGCGGCGAATCTGTGGGTCTACCCCTGCAGAGTCCTTGACCTTCCATTGCTAGATAAATGTGTGTCACCCAAGAAAAACATCGATTCCAAATGTGCGTCCGCTCCCCCCCCTCTCCCACCCCCGAAAAAACGCGCAACTAGCAAATGTATGCTACAAAAACACGCAAGGGACACAGGTTTATGTAACAAATGAAGGTCCAGGGTATTAAAAGAGTACTAGAAGATTACCAAAAAAGGACCAGCAAGGAGAAGAACAAGGGAAATCTACAAAAGGCACATTCAAACCGTTGTCTGGATAGTTCTATTCACAACCCCTGGTATGGTAGCAAAAACCTATTTGGTCCTTTGAAGCCCCCGACCTCAAAATGAAGAGAACCAACAAACTAATAAGCTTGCAAAGAACAGTAAAGTTCTGCATTTGTAATGCGGACCGGAAAAGAGTCGACCTGACTTTTCTGAATCCCACGCATTGTTTAAGTGGACCAGAATAGAGCCCACATGTTTGTTCCCCGGGGGGAGGGAAATGCAATTAATCAAGTGCCCACATGATGTGGTCATGGGTCAAAATAAAACAACCAGCAACCAAACCGCAGCCTTTCCATTTGCCAGGGTTCCTTCCATTTTGGGGTTGCCCTATTTTTTGACCCAACTGTGCGTGGTGCCCCCCGGGGGCGACCAGGGTTGCTTCACTAAGCGCGCGAGCGAGCGGCAGGAGAACCCGATGTTCCGCATGCTCCATGCGCGGCAGAAGCAGCTTGACGGGGTCGCCGCACGAGAGGAGTTGAGGTTTTGCATCCTGCATAGAGTGAACAGCGAGTGCAAAGAGCAAAACACACACGCCATCAATTAACCGAGAAAAGACGGGCAGTTTAAATGGACCCCCCCTCCCCCCAAAACAAAAGCACTGTTGAGACCTTTCACCCGCAAATTCCGGGATTCTCCCGGAGAATCTTCGGAATCCCCTTCACGGGACTACGGGTCAGCTCATCATTTTATGGCAGCCCCATAGGCCAAAACGCTTACCCTTCCCACCAAAAGGCATTTGTGGGAGGTTCAGTTTCCTGGAAGATCAATTTCCTGGGACCCTCTGTCGGGGTGTGGGGGGTCGGGGGGTCGGGGGGTCGGGGGCCAGGGGCTGGTAGGTGCTATCTGGCACGGGCCAGAGAGCTTCTCGGATTCCCCGACCGGTGCAATATCTGCTCTCAGGTATAACTCATGTCCAGGGGTGTCCAACGCAGCCAAAACCGCCGCATGGGAATTCAGGCAAGAGCAACAAACAAAACTCCTTGGCCCCACTTTGATGGGAAGACATCTCTTTGCCAACCTTTGATTCACTGCCAGACTTGTTCGGCGTCTGCCTTTTGTTGGCTCGTCAAAGTGACATGATTGGTGAATAATGTCATATCACTTTCAAGAAAAATATTTGGTTCTAAGGTTTGAGTCCTCATGCTCTTCACCTAGTCTCTTTAGACACCGCCCATTTCCCCACCCTGTTTGGAAGGCGCAGCAGCGAGAAGTGGACATCGCCTTCGCGGAATGTCACAAACAATCTTGTTGAAATGAACGAATGACATCTCTTTCACATGGCCAGTCTCTCTTCAACGGGGCTCGCAAAGGGCATCAACACTGGCATCCTTAAAAACATGTCACAACCGAGAACATGGACATTCACCAAAAGCAAGCTCACTTTGAGCTGGCCTTTCTAGGTGAAGGGAAGTCTAGAGAACTCTGATGCCTTCCCCCCATTTGCAGGAAGCATTCCTTGGCAGAACATCGCCTTGATCAGGAAAATGGCCGCGTCGGTCATTTGCCCAACAGACCGCGCCCCCCAAACCTCCAGTGACAAGGAACAAGGGCTCACCGGCAAAAAGTGGCAACTTAGAAGGCTGCTGAAAACGGGCGAAAGGAGGCTAGCAAAGTCTGGAAATGAACAAAACCGCCAACAGGTCTGCCCAAAGCTAGAAGTTCTCCTCCAGCAGCTCTTCCACCAACTGCTCCGCCGCCAGCATTGGCGCCAGCGCCATCACGACGCCCCGGCCCGAGCCGTCGGCCGTTGTTCGGCCGGTCGGGCCAGAGCGGCTAACACGCACTCGACTTGCCGCACCGCAGCTTTTGCCCACAACCGAACGTGAAACTGTGGATGGACGAAATCCTGCACCACTTTGAAACCATGGGAAACCATTGTTTGTTGATATTTTAAGGGGATTCATTTAATTCCGGTTAGGTGGTGCGAATAGGATTTCCCTTCGAAGCCAAACAGGGAAGACCCCAAACATCCCCGCAGTGCACATGGCTGAGGCAAGTAAAGTTGACCCTGGGTGTATAAACCTCTCGGATGAATCGATGTTTGCCCAACAGAGCTGTCCAGATTATCCCTTAAATCCCATCAAAATCAACGGGTTTATGAATCCTCAGAGAACTTTGGCGGGTTGCTTTGTATTTGGCTGTCAAAACGACTTGGACCCGCCCAAATGCTGGCTTCACGTTGGTTTCCCTCTAGAATGATATCGAACTTAGAGGTGCTCCAGTTCGCCGCCCCCCCCCCACCAACCCAAGCAAAGGAAGCACCGAACAACATCATACTGCTTTACAAGAAGTGGTCTGAGTTTGATTCGGGTGAGTTGTGTTGGTTGGACTCCGGATCACTGCTTCGGTTCTTCTCACGCTTTTGGGGGTTTAGTCCACGCGCCAATCCCCGCCTTCACTGCCTCCTGCGCTGGGAAGGGCAGAGCGTGGCGGAAAAAAACGCATGCGTTGTTCTAAGGGTTTTGGCAGTACACCCTGGGAATACCCATTGGGTATTCACCCCATTTAGGCACATCTCCAGATAAAACCGTGTTACTTTGAACCATTCTGGGTCATTTCCCAAGAGTGTCATCCCAGCTTGTAATACAAAAACCCTCAGAGTTGCACAAAGGGCTTCCCAAAGACTAACTCCCTATATAAAGCCAACATTGCTTGTCTCACAGAGGGGATAAGCCCCATCCCACGACCCTGTGCTAAACTGTTTGCAATCCGTTGTCTGGTGGTAAATTGGGGGCAATCCTTGCGAAATCTTGCGATCCGCGCCAAACTGCCCGAAGGTTCATGTGCCTTCTGATTCTGAGGAAACTGCCGGGGCCAAGGGGCATTCTTGTCCGGGATAGCCTAGCTTTCCTGAGGTCCATGACTCAAACGGAAACCAAAGCTTCCAGTGGGAGGGGGCTGACATTTCAGGGTTGGGTCTTGCGCCAGCTACTTGCTCAACTGTTCATTCTAAAAAAAAAAAAAAAAAAACTCCCCTTCCGAAAAGGGCGCCACGGCTCGGGGATTCAGGCATGGCGACGTTCACCGACTGGGGGCATTTCGGGTGTGTCTATTCTGGAACGCCTGGGACAGCTTTGAAGGCAAACCAAAAGCTTTGACCGCTTCAAACAGTTCGACTGCTGCTACTTGGGATCGAAACTGTCATGTTCAAACAAACAAACACATGACTCGGATTGTCTTTGACCCCTTGCAACAAGTTGAGCTGGTTGCTGGTGAAACCTCCGTAAGCTTGAGTTGTGTATCGTCAAAGGTCATGCAAAAGAGAAAAACAAGTTGCACGGGTTCGGTAAGAAAATGACACAATCCTCAAGCAGCAAACCACAGCGCAGGCCACAGCGAAGGCGTTGCTGGCAGGAGAGACGAGAAGCATGATCCTTCCCTTTGCACAAACATATACCCCCTCTGCCTTACACGTTGGGAAAAATGGGCTGAGCCACGGTCCATATTCGTTGTGTTCTCCACTGACATGTGATTCTTGTAAACAACCCTCATTTCCTTCTGGTAATTTGGTGAGGGTGCCTAATGTCATCCCCTTACTACCGTAAACTATGCCACATAGACCGTTGTTCATATGGGTTGGTGACTTTTTGAGGGTACCCGTTTAAAGGAGGCAAGGAATAACGCCATTTTGGGGCCCCCATTTTTTCTCCTTGGGCTGAGACATATATAGGACAACAAGTGTACACTGCACTTCGTATTGACGTGGCTCAACTCCTTTCCAAGCCTCAGAAGATCTGGTATGTGAGATTAGCTCATTGTCCCGGACCCCAGTTATTTTTTGCAACGTTCAACCCTTTCCCTAGGATTTACGGGATTTAGATACTCTTGTCGGTTTATCCTATACCGAGGATTTACTGATCAAAATAGTTTGTCGTCATTTCAGTTCGGGGCAAACATGCCTCAGACGGTTAGCAGCCGTTGACCCAGCAGTTGATTTCGAAGGGAACAACTCTCTGCAAGCACCGGGTGTTTGGGTCTTGAGTCTACTCATCGATTGGCTTTAGCAGTGTTTTTCAGGGAACTGAAGGAAAGTCCCCTGTTTCTCACTTCCTGAGTTGATGGTCCAAACAAAACGAACTGTTGTTTGCCACCAAAATGAAGTCCCAAACAGTGTCAAGTCCAAAAACTCGGGAAGCATGGTTTCGAGACAACCCCACGAAGATGATTATGTCCACCAGCCATTTTCCGGTCATTCGGCAATGGTGCATGATTACCCTCAAGCCAAGGGCTCGTGCGCGGATCTCCGAAATTCCCCGGAAAGGGGACGGGTTGCTGTGCACCAAGCCATGGAGGGTAAGTTGCACGGATGCTCCTCTCACTTGAGGGAAATGCTCAGAAGCAAGGCCCAAACTGGTTGCTTACCACAAGCATTGGACTCTCTGGTCTGCATCTCCGCTGGAAGGGTTACCTCGAAAAAATGCTGTTCGAGGTCCGAATATTTTTAGGGCACTAGATTAAAGTCCACTGACTGGACACACTCGCTTGCTCTCTGCTCCCCTGCTAACAGTTTAAAATTTGTGGTTCAATGGAAAACCCAATTAGTTGGCAAAAACAAGTCCTAACATCCAAGCAAAATGCACCAAAGCACACATGGCTCCTGAGATGCTGGTGTTGACGTCGGTGCCTGCAGTGGTGGCGGCGGTGGTGCCTGTGGTGGTGTCTGTAGTGGTGGCGGCGGTGGTGCCTGTGGTGGTGGCGGCGGTGGTACCTGTGGTGGTGCAGCTGACATCTGCGGTGATGCGCCAGGCATTTGCATCATCATCATCTGCATTTGTTGAAGCAGGGGGAGAGCTTGAATGAATTGCTGCTGCTGCTGCATCTGCTGTTGCATCTGCTGCTGCATCTGCTGCTGCATCTGCTGCTGCATCTGCTGCTGCATTTGCTGCTGCATCTGCTGCTGCATCTGCTGCGGCAGTTGCTGCTGCTGCATCAGCATGGGAAACTGCTGCTGTATCTGCGGCTGTCCCGTGGGCAGCGTCTTTGGCTGCTGCTGCTGCTGTTGCCGTTGCTGTGGCGACGGCGACTGCTTCTTCGCTGGCACTGCCGGCACGTCTTGCTGAATCGCCGACGTCGTCGACACTGCCGACTGCGGCTGCGTGGCTTGCGAAGTTGGCGGTGGCTCTTGCCTCAGTTCATCGATCCATTGCTGAAAGCTACATATATCATAAATCCAAACACTGGCTGAGAGTTGCCAAGATGCATCGGCGGTTCTTCAGGTTGCGGCTCAGGTTCTTCGGGTGCCTAGCAAGGCGATTGCAACTGAAACAATGTACCAATTCAGGTCAAAGCTCCCAAGTCATCGGATCTTCGTCGTTGAACCTGTAGGCTTTGAATGTTTTCTTCGTTCATCATGTTGGCTCATGGGCAACAATGCAACATGTGTTCGACCGTTGCCCAGGACAGATCTCATGGAACCTTGTCCTTGGAGAAAAGTGACATCTTTGGATTCGAACAGATCGACCCGGTCAATCCAAATGAGAAAAGATACAGCCTGCAGCTCTTTCCCCAATGATACGTATCATGGTGGATTCCGGTTGAGTGAACCTTGAACTGCTTCCAGTTGCTTAAGTCCCCTAGGAAAATCTGGAAATATGTCTAGTGATAGATTCCCTTTAAAACCAACATGGGGAAAACATGCACGTCTTACGCAATGGACGACTGCCCACTACCGACAATTGATGCCCCGGGTCAAAAGGTTCAAACCAAAACAACAAATTCCAGGTGTGCGGCAAGCCCCGGTTTTGGGGCCAGTTGCTCAACTGTAAACGGGAGTTGATCATCCAGTACTCCGTTCGTTGCGTCAAAACAGGGATTCGCACCCTCGGAACAGGGAAAAAGGACCGACCAAGCTTAAAAAGGCGCCCATTGCCATTCGGGGATGCCTGAAAGCATGAAGGGCTGCAGGTTTGCGTGACCATTCCCCAATCAACCCTGGGAGTTTGACACAAAGCCGGAGCAAGGCCATATTTGAGCCATACGGGTGTCTTTTCAGGGGAGCCCCCAAAAAAGCGGCTTTCCAGTTGGTTTCACGTTAAAACCAAGCAAACCGAAAGAGGGTAGCCCTCAAAAAAGACACACCCACATGAAAGACACACCCACATGTGTGAGACATGCCAATATTCTTCCATGCCGGCCTCCTTTCAAAACACAGCCACTGCATGCACAAAGATCTATAGTGCACGCTATCTTTGGTTGAAAGTGCTCATGTACAAGTACTGTCTGCTTTTAGGAAATGCGTCAAGGAACTAAGAAAAGGAGTTAGTACGGGCCCCACCAATCAAAACCATCCTACCGCACAGAAGATCAAATTAGATGGTGCCTCTCTAAAAGCGTGCAGGGCAACCAAAAGGACAACACCAGCCATTTTGGAGTCTCTTTTTCAGGCGGCGTCAGTTCTGCTTTTGCCTTCACCACAAACAAGGGGTTCCCCGCCTCCACAAAACCAACGACACCCCCATCTTGGAGGGTACCCTTAAAGCTGAAAGCTCGAAAAGGAACCGCGGCGTTGCACCCTGCGGACTCCCGTCGCACGCGGCGGTGCCCGCGCCTTCGCCTGAGCGCGACCTGGAGAGGCGCTCTCCATTTGAAAGTTTATCGGCCCAACAACTTGCGGATGCGATCAGTGGGAGATTCCGATTCTGTTTACAGATTTCCAGTGATAGATTCCCATCAAAACAAACACAGGAAAAACGTAGTCTTGATCAAGATGGAAGTTAAGGGGAAGCCACAAGGAAAAACGCATCTTTTAAGGGGATTCCCTTCAAGGAAGCCACCAGTTGGATGGTTTTTCTTGGGGTCATTCCCTCATTCCCTGCTGAGCACCAGCAAGAAAAGGGGGGGTGAACGGACAATCCGAGCTTCAGGTTGTATGTGGACGAAATCCAGCTCGCACCACGAAATAAAACCATGGTTGAAGCAGCAACGTTGGTTGGTATTTGCAGGGGAATCATTCCGGGGTTTCTGAAAGGCGGTGCGAAATGAAATTTGCAACTATCCACAGAAGCTTCAGGTTCTGCATTTTGTTCAGTCCCTAAGAAAGTGTTGGAGACCGCAAACATGGTCTGCCAAGAATGTGACAAAGTACAAAATATCCCTGAACCTCAAAAACTCCAAGTTGATTCCCCCAGAATATTTGTCCTTGTGATTCGTTACCACTGATTTTAGGTAGATGTCTGTCGGTCGCCTAAAGTCCCAGCGTTCCAACCAAGTCATGTCATTTACCAAGACATTCCTGAGTCTTGAGCTAACATCGGAAAATGGCTGATGACCATGCCGGTCAAATTTGGGGCACATCCGCACCTATGACTAGATAGTGCTGTCCCCAACTCCATCTGGTAAAAGGACCCAACTAATCAGGATTTTGGGTACTGTCGAGCCATGATGAATGAATGATGCTTGTAGCTGTTTGCCCCCGTATCTGATTTCCTGTTGGTGAGTGACGTTTCAAGGGCATACTATGGACGGATAAAACCTGGGATGGACAAAACTTACGCATGCTGTTAAATAAAAACACGAATCCCAACAGATGCCCGGCGTGGATGTTGTCCATAAACATTTTGCATCGCCTACACAGTGGTTTGTCCATCCTGGAATCGTGCGTTTTGGGTCTCCCTTCAAACCAACTTCAACCAGCCCAAAAAAGGGGCACCCGTACAAAACCACGCACCCACTTGAGATCATTGGATCCGTCGGAATGCGAGGGGAGGGGGATTCCTGTTTGGGGGGATCCTTGGAGGCGAGCCTTTGTCACAAACTCTAGGAATTCTACAAGGAGCCCCACTTTTGTTGGGTAGTTGGCCAATGTCTTGCTGCTGGTTGCTTGGGTCTTGATTTCGGTGTCTTCCGCTACAAAGACCGCGAAAGACGAGATCATTGTCTTGCCTTGGTCCGCCAGCCACTGTTGGTAGATCCCCTCCGCCAACTTCAGCGCCTGAATGTGGCATTCTGGCGCGGCTGCTTGTGATACCAACTAGGTCCTCCAGTTTTGCGAGGTTAGACTAAGTTCGTACCCGATTTTTCTCTGTAGTCAATTTCAGTAGGGGAACTCTCCAAAAAAGAAGCGGTAAAAGTTGGCACCTAGCTGGGGGACCTAGCTAACATTGAGCGTGGCTTGGAGGCTTCCCATTTCCGCTGAACAAAAACCAGTCAAATCTCCCAGCCACACATCCAAACCAAAGGCTTACTTGATACGGGGTCAGGAAAAATATGGTTCAGATAGTCCACGTGTAACCTGAAAATGGTGAAATAGCTTTGGAGGATTCCCTACAACCCCCCTCATTTTCCAAATGCTCATCAACCCTTGGAGAGGCCTTCAACCAATCAGCCCGCACTTACCCTCCGCTGGCAAGAGAGACGAGCGCCTCTCACGTCACCTGACAACGGAACGGCGCCCGACCAGATTCAAATGTTATGTGGGTTTGTCTCCAAGACACGAACGGTTGGCTTCCCTTTTGCCTCCTTTGGCTTCCTGCAAGACCAACTAGAAGCGGGCACCCTCAAAAAAGACACCCATATGTACATGTGTATATATATATATATATATCACTTTTCCGCGAGACTCCAAGACCATTCACTTGTGCCATGAACTACATGCAAAGGGAATGCTGCGAAGGACTGCTTGACACTGCAAAAAGAACCCAAACAGAAAGGGTTAACCTTGTGGGGCCATGACTAAACGTGGACCAAAGGGAAACCAAAAGGTTAAAAGGTAAGCTTGGGCAACTGATGTATATATATATATATATATCTGGCTTCAGTACTTTACCATGATCAAAGTCAGCCCCAAAGTGGTGGGTTAAAGGGAAATAACCCCGTTTTCTGACTTTGATAACCCCCCAGAAACCGTCAAAATCGTGACCCCAATATATACGCATATAGAAATGCAAAAATGGGAAGGGATTCCCTACGTTTGCGGCACTTCACGGGTGAATGAAAGCCCCGGCCTCGGCATGCCCGATGCCCTGCTGCAACCCCACCTGGCGCAGCTTACTTGGCGTTGTGGGTGTCTTCAACCGGGTGTCCCAGTGCTTCCAGGCGTTTCGCCACTACGGGTCAAAATCCCGTACCCCCCAGTGAACATCCCAACCCCCACTAAAATAGACTAAAATGGGTGGTGCACCTACCCCAAAATGGTGCCATTGGTTGTGACCCACAGCCTTGTAGGAAACCCTTCGGTATCTTTCCCTCGTTGTTTAGCAGCTACTACCCTGGTGGCTTGCTTGGAAGCACTGCGTGGCTCGTCTTTTTGGGCTATTCCCAAAATGGCTTCGGCTTTCCTCTTGGCTTCTACCCTCAACAGAAGACTAGCTGCTTTACCTGTCGCTTGCCCCCCAAACAAAAACGCCAAAAGGAGTTCCTCCCAACAAACACACAGCTGTATCTGGGCCCCAGGGTACACCACAAATAAGTTCTTCAGATGGCCCACAATTCAGTCTACCTCCAACAAAAAATACAATATATATATATATATATTATATATCTATATGTATGTTTCAAACACCATACCTGGGGCGTGCGGTATGACCTTGACCAGACTCAGACTTGAAAAGTCTGGCAATGAATTGCCCATTTCCCGAATCGGGTCGGCCTAAGC